GCTGTTGGCCCCGCCCCCGGCCCCGCCCCCGCAGCTACCCCGGTCCCCCCAGTGGTGGGTGTGGCCTCGGGGGGGGTCCGGGGTGGGGCACAAAACCCCATTTTTGGGGTTTAGCCCACGGGGTGCGCGCTGTCGCTGCGCACTCCCCACTATTTATTTTTATTATTATTATTATTATTATTTATTTATTTATTTTTTGGGGGGGGGTGGTCCGGAGCTGTGGTTGGGGGTGCCCACCCCCGGACCCCCGGACCCCCGCCAGGGCCCCAGGGCCGGGCTCAACAACCCTGGTGGCCACTCACCATAGGTTTTTTTTGCTAGAGTAGTCTGTTTCAGAGGTGAATATTTAGAAATCTGTGAAGCTCGGCATACACCTCTCCCCTGCTCTTTGCATGTCATACTCTATCCTGCCCTGCACATATTCCTTTCCGTCCCATTGCCCCTACCTCCCCTGCCCCATACTGCTATAGAACTCCGCCTTCTATCCCTTACCCTCCACCCTCCCCTCCACTCCCTTTGTGCTACTATCAAATACATACGAATGAGCATCATTAAGAGAACAGACGATATGAAGATCAGAAATGAAATGAACGGAAGTATGAAGATGAAGGACAGACACAAAGACTGTATAAACTGAAGATCTAAAGTGAAATGAACAGGAGTATGAAGCTCTGAAGAGAAATGCACAGGAGCATACCTTCCCTTTTACTCTGCCTCCTGAAATAACGTGCAAGTGGGCCATGAAGGCACACGGGGATGTGGGCAGCTGCCGCTCAACTACAATCAACGTGGGCAGCCTTGTGCATAAGAGGCACAGTAAAAGGGGAGCTGCAAGAACAATGAAAGGGGTACCCCGAGGACAACCAAAAAACTGTCTAATTATAAAATTGCTTTAATATGTTGGACATCTCAAATGCTCTCGTTGTCTGCAATAGGACAAAACTGCTTTGATTCTGAATCTATTCATCTGGGTGGAATTGGGGCTGTTGTGGGGAAAATCTAAAACACACACAAGCACACACACACACACACACACACACACACATCCTTGGGTCTGCCTCCTTTCATAGCGTGCAAGTGGGCCGTTATGGCACACGGGGGTGTGGGCAGCTCATGCTCAACCACAATCAATGTGGCAAGCCTTGTACATGAGAGGCACAGTAAAAGGGGAGCTGCAAGCACAAATAAAAGGGGTACCCAAAAGAAAGCCAAAGTAAAGATAGTCAAGAAAGGGATATAACGGACCTGCTGTGCTTCATGTTGCGTGCTATCTCATCTTCAATGTGCTCCATTGTCTGGAATAGAAGTAAAGCTGCTTTGATTTGGGGTGTACTCATAGAGGTGGAACAGGGGCTGTTGTGGGGAGTATCTACAAGACGCACAAAATTCAATGATCTATACATCCCCGTTCTTCAGAGGTATGCATGCTGTTAGTAGCATTGAGTGAGTCCTTCAACGTTGTTGTTTCTCTGCAGGTTAGTGTTATTGGTGGCCTCCAAGTGAAGATGGGAATCAATTGTGTTCCCAGTGAGACACTGGCACGCTTGGCAGAGATATCTACGGCAACGGCAGAGCTTGCGGGTCAGGTTCTCTTGCCATCCCAACCCTATGTTGGTTCAAGTGCTTTTGCTCACAAAGGAGGGATTCATGTTGCAGCTGTGAGAAAGGTGAGCTGGTCAGAAGGCATGTGTCAGAAAGACTCGGAATACATTATGAGATTCTCAAGGCCCGACAATTGAAAATCACGATCCTACGTTCACAAATCAATGAGTGTCATGTGAGTTTGCGAAAATACAGATGTTCAACAAAAAAAAGATGTCGTTGTGTTTGGAAGGGTATCAAAGGCATCTTCGGACGGCAAAACCGAATAATGCATGAAGATTATCTCTATCAATATCTTGTGGATTTGCATAAGCACTAACCTGATTCATGAGGTAGTTGTTCTTTTTGGTCGTTTTGTTTTGTTGGTGAGAGAGAGAGAGAGAGAGAGAGAGAGAGAGAGAGAGAGAGAGAGAGAGAGAGAGAGAGAGAGAGAGAGAGAGAGAGAGAGAGAGACACACACAAACACAGATGAACAGTTGAGGAGGGGGGGAGGGGTGCGGGAGGAATCACTTCGTCTCCACTGGCAGCAATCGTATACTATGAATGGATATACTGCTGTGACCCGGTAATGATTGAGGCTGCTATAACTAAGCTTACACAACTTTACAATGAATCATGACTGCGTTACACTCTTGCGTCCACATGATTATCCGTCCAGGCATAGCTCGCCCTGCGGCCGTTGAACCCCCTAAATAAAAGGCTGAACACAACAGCTCAACACTTGGGCAGTATCATTGCTCCAGTAGCAATCGGATTAGCAGCAGCAAAATGACATGACAGAACTGCAAGAAGTGAAGAATAAGTCAGGCCACCAGGGACCCGACACAGCTTGCCTTGTCGTTGTAGAGCCGCATAAACAAAAGGCTGAATACAACAGCTCAAGAACTCAGCACTGAGTGGGGAGAGACATATTAACAAACTGAGCAATTCAGGGGTGGGTATAAACCCACGTATACCCAAGTTTACCCACATTTACCACATGGGTACAAGTCCAGGTATACCCACATTTACCCACATGCGTATAAACCCACGTGTACCCACATTCACCGACGTTTACTCAGAGGGGTAGAAACCGACGTACACCCGCATGGGTGCAAACTCACATATACCCACATGGGTATAACCCATGCATACCCACATTGACCCACATCAACCCACATCAATAGAAACCCACGTATGCCCAAATGAGGTATAAACTGACGTATACCTATGTTTACCCACATAGGTATAAACCCACGTTTATCCAAATGGGTGTAAACCCACGTTTGCCTACATTTACCCACATGGGTCCATTGGTGGGGGACGAGCCCCGTGCGCGAGGACTGCCCTGCAGCACGGACGACCGACAGACCATTCGAAGGATCGACCAATGTACCAAGGACCAATGGAATATTCGGTGGACCAGGCCAATTTTCGCGGGACCTGATCACGAAATTCCTAGGACTGGTTATGGAACCGGAAGACTATGGTAGAGTGGTAGGGGCCAGGCTAGGACGATAAGCGTGGGGTTCCAAACTGTGGAGCGGACATGGATGGTTGAGTTGGACCCAGGCAGCGCAGCCACCATGAGTCGGACCTCGGAGGCTTGAACGAGGCCTGCTGTACGTCACACGGACATCAGCAGCAGGACCAGACCAAAGTGGCCGTTAGACAAGGCCAAACGGGTCCACTGGGACTATAAGTCCCGATGCATGCTTTTAGCAGGGGGATCGGGAACTGCACACGCACGGGAACACACAAGCATGTGTTTCCCTTCTAGCGCACGAACCAGGACAAGGTCCTGGTTCGATCAGCACACAGCCCATCAGTGGGCAGTAATTAACACATGATCATCCACACACGGTGATCAGCACGCGTAGATCAAAGCACGGTACTTAACGCACGGTATTCCAGCGCACGGAAGTCAGTCGTGATCAGCGAACGGTAATTAGCGGACGACAATCAGCGTACAGCGGCGGAGCGCGGTAATCAGCAGCGGTGATCCATGCACGATATTGCAGCGCACGGTAATCATCCACGCACGGTGATTATCGGTGATCAGCACACGGTAATCATCCGCGCACGGTGATCAGCGGTGATCCGCTCACAGTATTTCAGTGCACGGTGATTAGCGGTGATCAGCGCACAGTAATCATCCACACACGATAATGAACGGATCAGCGGACGAAGGTGTGCGATAATCAGCGGACAACGGTGCACGACAATCAGTGGTCGACGGCGCACGGTAATCAGTGGACTACAATGATCAGCGGATGTTCAGATCACACACGGTGATCTAGTGATGCACATGGGGGGGAGTGCACAACACTGGAGAGCACGGGAACACACAAGCGTGCGTTTCCCTCATATTGCACAAACAAGGGTGAGGCCCTTGTCTACATTCATGCACGGGGGCCAGCGCCTCAATCACGCTTGAAACGCCACGTGCATCAAATCCATGCACGAAAGGTAAGACCTATCGAAAATAATCACGCAGGAGTCGTGATTTCCCCATCCAATTGGCGCACGAACTATGTACATTGCAGTGCCCGGACAGAGGCACAGTGATCCAACTGAACGCATGGTGATTCCAATCACGGATGGCGGTCGATTCACACACGGAGGTTGTAATCAGGCACGCTCCCACACGGTGATCTGATCACTCGCAGACCTGGGCACATATGGGTGTACACCAGCTTGTGCTTCGAATGCGCGGATCACTGGTGCGCGAAGGGGCGCTTTACCAGGTACGGAGATACTAATCACTATCTAATCTAGCTCCCGCCAATCAAGCACTGGAAAACAGCACGCGGATTAGATACTCAGCGCACGGTCTAATTTTGACGCACGAACCAGGACAGAGTCCTGGTCAGATTCACACGTGAAGCTGCTCGCGTTTGGACTCGACAGACGAACAGGGCCAGTGATCTTAGTCATTATTCAAGTACGAGAATACACACAAGAGGTAACTTCGATCACGGGCGATAGGTAACATCAATCACGGTGAGGGGTTATTCCCTACAGAACCCAATCAGCACGGAGCAATTGATCAGCAACCAAGTGATGCACTGATCACGCGTGAGGCTATGATGCCCAAAGAAGAGATTCCATCCAACTAGCGCACAGAGGTAATCTTACGTATGGAGCAAATCTAGTGCGCGTATCTAATCGGCCGCACGTGGGGGGCTTTCCTCCTGGTGATTATGTGAAGGGGAGTGCGAGAGTGGAGAGTAAGTGGGAACAAGAGGAGCACCACTTCGAGCAGCGCGCAGGAGACAACGGATACAGCAATGCACCTTTCCATTTTCTAGCGGAAGATTCAGTCTCAATTCCGCACCCGACGAGAAGACTGTCAAGGGCCTCGGCGCACTGAAGACAGAGTATGACACTGCATCTTGCCATGTTCTAGCTGAAGATACGTATCCCCCTCACCGCGCACTTGTTTGCACTGAAATTTCAGTGCAGAGAAGGTCGGGGAAGCTGACTATGTATCTTTCCACGTTCTGGCGGATGATTCATTTGCATTTCGCTCGTTTGAAGGGTATTTGGACAAGCTCGCAGTACGCAGAAGACAAGAGTATGACAGTGAATCTTGCCCTGTTCTTGGTACAGGTTCGTTTTCACCCCTCTCAATTGGTGAGCAATCAGGCAGGCACAGTACGCACAGGAGACAAAGAAAACAGCGGTGTATCTATCCATGTTCTAGCTGGAAGTTCATTCTCTTCTCCTCACCCTGAGAGTAATGGAGAGCGCACCCACGAGATCAAAGAGAGAGAGAAGTACAAACATTGAATCTACTTGCCCTGGGCTATGCTGGGTTCATGTGGAAATGCGTTGAGCGCTCCTTCAACAGCCAACCGAATGCTAGGAATTTGGCATGTATCTTGCCACACGCTTGCTGAAGATGCATCCGCAGAAAACAAGTTTTAGATGCTGTGTACCTCTATTTTCGCTGTTGGCAAGAAAACAAGCAGCAAATGCATAGTGGGGATGAACCTACCCACTTTCTTCATGGAGAACCATGAAAACTCCAGTGGGTGACAGACGCTGGGTAGGACACGGGTTCAAACCCGAGGGTTGGCAACTGCCATGATGAAATGAGTTTTCTTTAGAGTACCAGAAAAGAAAATTCAATAGGACCCAGGCTCCGCAATACTCGGCCTGCAGTGAAACTCACGCTCGTCAAAACAGGACCGGAGGTAGTGGTAGTTAAAACCACCAGTGCTTGGCCCATGCATCGGCCGTGGGCTTGCCTGTTAACACGCTGCAGCTGTCGGGGCCGGGGAAGTCGAACACCTGGTCACTGCAAAAAGCACGGCAGAAAGGAAAATTAGTTATACAAGAAAAAAAAGAAAGACAATCACAAGAAAGACAAAAACTACCAACTTTTCAAAAGAAAGAAGGAAAAAGGGAAAACAAAGAGAGAGAGAGAGAGAGAGAGAGAGAGAGAGAGAGAGAGAGAGA